AACCCGAAATAAGGGGATTGGTGAGCATTAGAACTGCTACAGATAAACTTACTCCTTCACTGAGAAGGCCTGAAAAAGATCTGAAAAAAATAACAACTTCCTGATTCAGAATTGCCACGCTTTATGCCTCCCGGGTTGACCAGGGCACTGACCTAGTTAGACCCGGATTTCAGACACAGGAAACGAGTTGGCCCAATTTTGCTAGTCGATTTTAAGACGAATAGTAGGGACGCCTGGGTGGCTCAGTGATTAAGCATCTGCCTTGGGCTCAGGTAGTGATCCCAGGGTACTAGGATCGAGCCCCACATGGGCTCTCCGCTCAGCAGGGAGTCTGCTTCTCCCTCTCCCACTCCCCCTGCTTCTGTTCCGTCTCTCTCTGTCAAATAAATAAATAAAATCTTAAAAAACAGACAAACAAATACTAGGAAGCAGTGAAGGCATATCTGAGACTAGGAAGAAAAGACGCTGGATACTACAAAGGGAGGGGAAAGGGGGGCGAGGACAGGGCGGCAGATCTGACTGCATTTTGCAGATGGCGCGAGGACGGAAGCAGGGTCAGGGGCAGCGCCTGGCCGGAAGCTGGACTGGGAAGTCCGCGTCCATCCCTCTCCACGCGAGGAAACGCCGAGCGCACCCAGCTCGAGAACTGGCCGCGGCCAGCCGGCAGCGCACGCGACAAGGACACGTCTTGGGAATTCCCGCGTCCTGCTACCCGATCCGCGCCATCCCTCCGGGAGGACAGCCACGGGCGGTGCGCGGAGACGCGAGACCAGCATCACGAAGCCCACTAGGCCCACTTCTCAGATCAAGGCCCCGAGACTCCAGAGCGAGGAAGGGTCGCGTCCGGGTCCCCAGAGGTCACGACACCCACGCGTGAGCGGCCCCTGTGCGCGGGCACCGCCAGACGGTTCCATCAGACACTCCAATTCCATCATCGCCCCGTTCAGATGGGCAAACTGAGGCACGGAGTGTGCGCACCCCGCCCGGGGTCTCGGAGCCACTGAGGGCAGCGGCGCTTCAAAGGTCACTTCACAAAGGGGAAACCGAGGCCCACCGAGGACGAGCGGGTTCCGGCCCGAACTTCCCTCGGCGGGGGCGAGGGGGTCAAAAGGGGGTCGCCCCGAGGAGGGGGCGCGGCTCGGAATCCACGACCTGCTCAGACCGGCCTCTCCCCGCCGCGGGGAGCCACGACGTCACACGGGGGGTGGGGCTGTGACCGGGAAACCCGGGCGTGGAACCGCGGGTCGCACTCACCTCCCGAGCCGACCTTCGGAGCCCACACTTCCGGGAACGGGGTCGGGAGCAGCTCGCCGGCGCGGACTCGGCGTCCCTCCACCAGCGCGACCTGCGACAGCGCCCGGGGGACCGCGGCCCACGCAGCCCCGGACAGCACCGCCGCCGAGCGCGCGCGGGGCCCACTCAGTGCGCATGTGCGCCCCTAGCTGTCGTTCAAAGCCGGCGTGCGGCGACTCTGCCAATCGGAAGCCTCCTTCCAGCCTGGCCCCGCCTTACTCGCCAGGCGTCCGGCGTCCGGCTGTCTCCAGGGCAACCGTCAGACCGCCTGTCTAAGAAAGAGGGGCCCAGCGACTTCTGGGTGTTGTAGTCTCCGGGGGCCAGAGAAACGGGAGGCGCCGGGGAACGAGAAAGGTCTCCGACGCTGGCGTTCCTGCTTCCTTTCCCCAGCCCCGCTTGCCAGGTCCTGCCACAGGGGCCGACCGGTTCGCGGGCCTTGGGGTCGGTGGTGGGGACGTCGCGGGGGGGGGGGGGGGGAACCCGTCTCTGTCACCATGGTAACACCCCCGGCTCGCGGCCCGCCTCTTGAGCGCTGACGTCACGCGCGGAGCCGGGCGAGAAGGCAGTGGGCGCATGCACCGGGGGAGGGAGGGGTGGGGCGGGCCCGTGGGAGGAGTCAGAGGGTGAGGGCGGAGTTAGGACCCGCAACTTGGCCCAGAAGCGAGCCTGGGAAGTCCATCCCCATCTTTTTCCACTTCGAGGAAACTCGGAGCTCATCAAAGTGCACCTGAAGAATTGGATATTTTCATTGTAAATTTTATTCGGCGATAATTTTACGTTTAGAGAGAGGTGGCAGGTAGAAGGTGCCCACATGGCCCTGTCCCCCAGCTTCCCCTACGTTAACCTCTCAGGACTGCAGCACCTTTGTGCAAGCCTCTCGCATCTGAGCAAGGTTATAAACTGAGCTCCAGCCCATTCCCATGGTCCCAGTCTGCCCTCCGGGTGCCCCCAAAAAGTAGGATATAAGCCAAAGCATTAATAATGGCTTTATCTGTTAAGTATTAAAATGATATTTTGTATATATTGAGTTAAATCATATATACTACTGATTCACATTGATTTCACCTGTTTGTTTTTACATTTTTCTGGCTTTTTTGAGATACAGTTGATAGATAACATTGTATAGTTTTAGGGGGTACAACATGATTATTTGATATATGTATATATTGTATATATCCATAATAAGATTAGTTACCATCTTCATCATCTCATAAAACTACCTCTTTGTGTGTGTGTGTGTGTGTGTGTCTGTGTTCAGGACCTTTACGATCTACTCTCTTAGCAACCTCGAAGCCTATAATACATATTGGTCTAATGTCATACATTACGCTCCCAAATCTTAACTCATCTATAATTGGAAGTGTGAACGTTTTGACCAGCATCATTTTACTTTTTAATGTGCCCCCTAGAAAGTTTTAAGTCCCCGTGGCTCGTGTGAGATTTTGATTGGACCCTGCTGCCCTAAGTAACAACACCCTTACTGAGAACAATGTCAGGCCTTGTGTTTGACAAATACTGTTTTACTTAAGCCTGAAAATAACCCTGTGAAGAAGGTTCCGTAGAACCTTTCGTAAGCAGACCCCACTGCTGGGTGACTCCTGGGGTAACTGAAGTTCGCATCCCCTCTCTCAGACACGGGTGGGTGTTCCGGGCGGCAGGAAGCCCAAGGCGAGCAAACTGCTTTCTAAAATGCCTGAAGGAGGCACCTGGCCCTCTCAGTCAGTGCAGCAAGTGACTCTTGATCTCAGGGTTGTGAGTTTGAGCCCCAGGCTGAGTGCAGAGATTACTTAAAATAAAATAAATCTTTAAAGAAAAAAAAAACCCAAATGGGGCACCCGGATGGCTCAGTCGGTTAAGTGTCCAGCTCTTGATACCAGCTCAGGCCATGATCTCCGAGTCATGAACCTGAGCCCCAATTGGGATCCACACTGGGTGTGGCGCCTGCTTGAGTCTCTTCCTCTCCCTTTGCCCCTCCCTCTGCTTGTGCTTGCTCATTCTCTCTCTCTCTCTCTCTTTCTCTCTCAAAAACAAAACAAAAATGTGTTAAATTCAAATGCACAAGATAGCTGCAGGAATAGACCTTTTTCTCTTGTTCTCTAGAAGATTTCTACCTTCCAATTGCTCTGTAGGAGTGCTTGTGCTTCTTCTCCTGCTTGAAGGGACAAATTGAAAACTGTAGGTCCACAGACCCACACTAAACACTAAACAAAACCTTGCTTCTCTTAGACCAAATGAGCGTACATCTGTGCGTCTTAAAGTGTTTTTAGTTGCCTATGTTTTAAAATATTTTATTTATTTATTTTACAGAGATTTATTTACAGAGCACAAGCAGGGGGAGCAGCAGAGGGAGAGAGAGAAGCAGGCTCCCCACTGAGCAGGGAACTTGATGCGGGATTCGGGGCTCGATCCCAGGACCCTGAGCCAAAGGCAGACACCTAACCGAATGAGCCACCCAGGCACCACTTCAACTGCCTATTTAAATGAACTTTAAAAAAAAAGATTTTATTTATTTAGTTGACAGAGACAGACAGAGATCACAAGTAGGCAGAGAGGCAGGTGGGGGGTGGGGTGGGGTGGGAAGCAGGCTCCCCGCTGAGCAGGGAGCCTGATGCAGGGCTTGATCCCAGGACCCCGAGATCATGACCTGAGCTGAAGGCAGAGGCTTAACCCACTGAGCCACCCAGGGACCCCTTTAATGAACTTTTTGCTGAACCAACCAATGACTGCTTCTGATCATGATGATGGGAGGGCTTCTACTCTTCAATACCCCCATCTTACAGATGACAAAATGAGGCATTGATAGACAATAACTTCCCCAAAGTTGCAATCCAGTAAGGGCTGGGAGCTGGAATTTACACTCAAGAAACCTGTCTCCTACAAACCATAAGAGACTCTTAATCTCACGAGGGTTGCGGCGGGTAGGGGGATAGGGAGAGGGTGTTTGGGTGATGGACACTGGGAAGAGTATGTGCTATGGTGAGTGCTGTGAAATGTGTAAACCTGATGATTCACAGACCTGCACCCCTGGGGCAAATAATACATTATATGTTAATTTTAAAAATTAAAAAATAAAGAAACCTGTCTCCTTGTTAGAGCCCAAGCTCTGAGCCAGGACCACGCAGACATGCTCCAATGCAATAGGGCAACGAAGTCCACAGGCTGGAGAGCTGGGAACAGCTTAATCTTGGGCTCACTCCACCTTCAGATCCCTATTTCCTCAGTCTTTGTACAAAAACAAATAAATAAATAAAAATACTTTGTGATGAGTCAAACCTGGTCAAACCCCGGCACCTTGACCTTGGACTAATCATCCCTCTGGGCTGTATTTTCTTCACCTCAGAAGCAGGCAGCCTAGCGGAAGCTCCTTGAAGGTTGTCGCCGGAACTGGCATATATGATTCTGGGCACCCTTGGCCCCCCGTGAATGGAAGAACTGAGCCTTCAGCTGCTTCAGCTAGTGTAGGTTTAATCAGAGAAACAGTGGGGGAGGTTGAGCAAGGCCAGGGAGAGCAGTCGTGGGGAGACCCCTGGTGCTCACTCACCCTGGGCCTGTTGGGACCCTCAGGGACACCTTCCCTCGGTGCCTCTGGGCAGACAGATGTCACCCTCAGAGGACCCCAGTTCTTTACCCTCCAAACTGGCCTTCTGGGGCCTATAGGCTTCTCGGGAGGCAAGACTACAGCGCAGATGAAGGACTGAACAGGGTCGAGCTGAGACGGAGTAGGGTTGCTAGAAAGAGCAGCAGGGGTCGGTCCTGAGGGAGGGGGACAGAGAGCAGAGAAAGGTAGGTGTGCCTACCAGTTGGAACACAGGGCCCTAAGTCTGAGGGGGGGCTCCTTCAGTCACTCCCAGCAGGTGTCTCCTCCTCCCGGGGGTTCTTGCCCTCAGTGGGAACGGGCCGCCCCTCCAGTTCCATATTTCACCTCACAGCTAGGCCTTCCACTCCCCTGCTTGCCAGTTACCCTTCCCATGGTGAGCTCCGTGACCACAGGGACCTCCCCTGCGGCAGCCCCTGGGTCCCCCCACCCCTTCCATCCCTGGACCTTTGGTGTTCCTGGCCCCTCTGACCACCCACCCCTCCATGCATCAGACTGCAACATCCCCATACTCTCTGTCACCCCACCCCCCATACCCTGGCCCCTCTGACCCCCAGACCCTCTGCAGCCCCCAGCTTCACTGTACCCCCAGCCGGGTACACAGGAACCTGGAGGGAGTTTGTGAGGTTTGCCCTGTGTACTGGGGCCCCCAGGATTGATCAGGTGGACTTCTTCCTCTCAGGGGGTCTCACAGTGTAGTGTAGGGGTCCACAGGCAACAGCCTCAGGGTGACTCCAGCCTCCCCCACTTTTTATAGTTTTTTTTTTAAATTGAGGTAAAATCCGCATCACATAAATTTCACTATTTAACCATTGTAACGAATCAAGGATCCATCCTGGAGTGGCTCCTTAGTACACTGAACGGAATTCCCGGGTGGCCCAGCCCTTCCACCGCTCAGCATGTACCCGAAAGAAGGGAAAACAAGGGTTCGAACAAAAAGGTGCACACAGATGTTCGAGGCACCGCTATCCACCATAGTCAGAAGGTGACAACAACCCAAAGGTCCTTCAGCTATTGGACAGATAAACAAAATGTGGTCTAGCTATCGGATGAAACGCGACTCTGCCGTAAGAAAGAACAAAGAACCGAGTCCTGCTTCCGCCTGGACGACCTGGAAGATGACCTTGAAAACAGGCTCCTAGGCAAATGAAGCCTGACACAAAGGTGTCCAGACCAAGCTCTCCCACAGGGACGCCGGGAGGTGACCAGCATTTAGGGAAATGCTCCGTAGCTGGACGGTGAAACCTGCCCCGCGCCGTGGGAGTGTTACTGTTGGTGAACACAACTCTGAGATTCTCCCATGGGCGTTTCCGAGCCCACCTGGGGTTCCCTTCTCAACCTTGAGGCAATGGGGCCAAGCCCCCCGCCCCAGTTGTGGACAAAATGCCCTTCCCGGCCATAACATACCTGATGTCCTCTTCTGTGTTGCAGTAGTGACAGTAACACTTGGGAGGTTGACGAGAAAGTGAACCAGAGACAGGAAGACACAGTTGGTCAGGGTGAGGCAGGTCAGGATCCTCCCCTCCCTTGTCCTCTACTCCTTCCTTCCTTTCTTTCCTGTCCCCCCTTTGCTCCCGCTGTGACATCCTGGGGGCTCCCTGCTCCATCAGGCTCACCTCCCACATTCTCGCCCATCTCCTAAGGGGGTGGGCATCCGGACCAGATCCCTGTCGTGGGGGCGGCTGTCCTGTGCCATGTAGGATGTCTAAGACCACCCACTAAATGCCATGGCTCCCCCTCCCCAGGCAGACCACCAACGGTGTCTCCAGATGCTGCTGCGTCCTCTGGGTGGCAAGGTTATCCCCACCGCCAACTGGAGAACCACCCAAACCCAACCCAGCTCATTGGTCCCATTTCCCTCCCCCCACCCAGCCAAGCCTCGTAGATCTGCTCCGAGGTCCTCCTCATGTCCACTCCCATCACCACGCATCCTGCCCGGGCAGCCGGGCCGCCTCCTCGCAGTCTCTCTGCTTCCCCTCTTGCCCTGATGCCATGTCACTGTCCGCACGCAGCAGCCACAGTGACCCTTCCGTACTTGGACTCAGATCTCGCAGATGGCTCTCCGCCAGACTCGGAATAAAAGCTTCCTTCTTGGCATGGTCTGGGAGGGTCCTTTGGGATCTGAACCCCCTCTGCCCCCTCCACTCCCGCACATCTTCCCTTGGTCCCTCAAGGCACGTTTTGGCCTCGGGGTCCTTGCCTTGCATGTTCTCTTGGCTCGCAACAGCTGTCCCTACAATTCTCAAGGCAGGCGGCTTCTCAGATCCCCCCGCCTTCTCTGGCAAAGGTGCCCACTGCCCTACAGGCTGCGAGAGGTTCCCTGGATTTCTTCCTTTCCTGGGGCTCCTGGCTCGTTTCCTGTCTGTCCTGCCCCTATCATGTGAGCTCTGTGGGTCCAGGGACCTCGTGGGGCCGTGTAGTCCCCAGCGTCCAGCGAGGGACCTGCTGCGTATATAAACACTTGGACACTGATGAACTGAACGACTGCTGGGCCGTGGTCTTCCAAGTCCTGACCCACGCTCTGCCCCCTTACCTCTGTTTAATGCTTAGGAAATGGCTGGGTCCTTAAGAACCTACCTTCCATGGAGAGAGACAGAGGCAGAGGCAGAGAGAAGGAGTGGACAGTAGTGTTTCATAGGATCATCTTGGGCCATGTCAGTACAGAAGGGGGTGGTTTCTATTCAAGCTTGAGGATGGAGGCTGGGGTGGAGCGGTGCCGTGGAGAGAGGCAGGGAGGGAGTGCAGGGAGGAGGGAGGAAGGAAGGGGTAAGGGAGGGCGGGAATGAGGGCTGGTTCTATTCCCAGAGGTGCTTCTCTCCTACCCCTTCGCTTGCTTGGCATCTCCTTCACGCCCTCCCTCCTCTTGCTCCGCTGTCCCCTTCCGCCTCCCCCTCCCCACTCCCTTGTAACGGGCTCCTTCTTACCCAGTCTCCTTTGTTGTAGGACACGAACAAGAAGGTGACCATCATGTAGGCACATTTTAGAATGTTCCATCTGGATCGCTTGGCTGGCGGCTTCTTGGGGGCGGTGGTGGTCAGGGAGAGCTTCTCTGGGAGGACCCGGAGGGAATGAAGCCAGCTGAAGGCTTGCCCTTCCCGCCTGGAAATCCCTGCCCTTCCCGAACTCCACACCACGTCTCCACCTGCCTGCCCCTCCAAGAGACATTTGGGTCTCCTGCTGCCGGTTCCCCCTCCCTCCGCTCGGCCCCAAGGCGCCCGCCTCACCAGCTGTCCTCCTCCTCCTTGAAGCCCTCAGCCACAAGGGTGCCAGGAGGATCTTTCTAACTTGGACCTAACCTGGTGTGCCAATGCCCCTTCCCCTCCAGCAGGCTTTCCTGCTCTTCTCACTCTAAACATTTTAGCAGAGTGTAACATACAGAAAACCTCCGATTTTTTCGACTGTGTACACAGCAACGTCTCCCTAAGAGCCATCTGACCCCGGGAGTATGTCTTTGTCTGTTTTTGTGGGAAGTTTGTTAGATTACAGACTCGGTTTCTTTGACAAAGCATTATTCAGATAGTCCAGCCTTCTTTTGTTTCACTTTTGGTCCTCACCTGTTTTCTTGGGATTTTGTCTACACTTGCCATCTTACTAGCATAAGGTCTTTCAAACTATCCTCTTATTATTCTTTTAATACCTGCAGGATCCCTCCCTCCTCATTTTGGTGATTGTTTCTCCTGTTTTTATCTGTTTCTCATCAGCAATACTAGAGAACTACATTTTTATCAGACTTTTCCAAAGGACCGGCTGTTAGCACTGTTGATTACTAGTGTACATTTTTTTCGTTGGCTTTTTTCACTTCCTTTATTCTGCTTGGGTTTAATCTCATTCTCTTTTTCGAACTTCTTTAAATAGGTACTCAGATCATTGGTTTTCTGCGTTTCCACCTTCCTTCCCTCCTTTCTCTTAATGTACACATTTATGATTATAAATTTCTCTCTGAGCAAAGCTTTGTCGGGGTGCCGGGGTGGCTCAGTTGGTTAAGCGTCTGACTTCGGCTCAGGTCATGATCTCAGGGTCCTGGGATCGAGCCCCATGTCCAGCCCCTCATCACACTGGGTCCTGTGCTCAGTGGGGAGTCTGCTTGTCCTTCTCCCTCTTCCCCTCCCCCACTCATGCTCATGTGCTCTCTGATATAAATAAAATCTTTTTTGGGAAAAAAAAAAGCTTTGGGGCACCTGGGTGGCTCAGTTGTCCAACTCAATTTTGTCTCAGGTCATGATCTCAGGGTCCTGGGATTGAGCCCCACATCGGGCTGCCTGCTGAGCAGGGAGCCTGCTTCCCCCTCTCTCTGCCTGCCTCTCTGCCGGCTTGTGCTCTCTCTTTCTCTGTCAAATAAATAAAATATTTAAAAAAGAATAATAAACAATAAATGATTTCAATCTGAAGTTGACTGAGGCTTGTTTTGTGAACAAACGTGCAGCCAATTTCGGTAAGGAAAGTAATCCCACATTCCCTGGAAAGGCTGTGCATTCCCCTGGGGTTGGGTTCAGCATTCTTTCCATGTCAGTCATGTCATGTTTGCTCGTCGCTCTCTAGACGTTCCATAGGCAGTTTTATCTACCTGTCCTGTCACCTGTTGCGAGAGGTGTCCAAGTCGCCCACTATGTCATGGTTGCCTCTATTTCTTCTTGTTGTTTGCCCTGCTTTTCCTTTTATGCAAAAACTAGCTGTTGTGTGAAAACAGATTGAGAACTGGCGTATTTTCCTGGTGTATTAATCTCTTTCTCGATTTCAGCATCCCTCTTCGTCCCTCGGAACACTTCTTGACTCCAAACCAGCAGTGTCTGGTGTCAGAATCGTATGCTGGCTTCCTTTTACTTCAGAGACTTATGTCTTATGGTAGGAGTCTCCTTACTTTCCTTTCAAATTCTCCGTCTCTCTCTTATAGATTTTTTTGTGGGAGGGAGAAGTTAAAAACGTTCTCTTTGTCTGTGGTTTTAAACTATTTTGTGGCAAGGTTCCTAGAAGTAGTTCCTTTATAGTCATTCCTCTTGGGGTTCTCAGAACTTTTTTTTTAAGATTTTTTTTTTTAAGTAATCTCTACCTTCAGCGTGGGTCTCGAACTCATGACCCAAGATCAAGAGTTGCATGAGTTTCCAACGGAGCCCTACCAGATGCCCCTCTCAGAACTTTCAAAAATCTGTTGCTTGATGGTTATTTTTTTACCAAAGTGCAAAATTCTTAGCCATTAACCCTTGACATATCACTTCAGCTTCATTTTCTCTCACTTCAGCTTCTTAAATTCTCAATTTGCGTATGTAGCAGCTTTCACTGGGTCTAAGTCTTGTGTGTGTCTTTGTGTATTTTCTACTCATTTATCCACCGTGGTTCACTTTGAGTAATTCCCTTTGACCCGTTCTCTAGCTCCCTGATCGTGCTCTTGGCTGTTACAACCAAACCCTGAATTCGTCATTTCAGTTACATACTTTCAGTTCTGGAATTGCCATTTGACTATTTTTTTTTAATAAACTATAACTCTCTGGTGAAATTCTTCATCTAATTTGTGAACTTAATAACAGCAACCTTTTTTTTAAGTGCTTCTGGCCATTATCTGGACCACCCGGAACCTCACTTTTCTTGCCCGGCTTCTTCTTTCTCAGTTTTCGGCCATGCAGCCCTGACACGGGGACTGACATGTCACTTCCAGGGGAACAGGAGTGGGTCCGACGCCTACTTCAGTGTGCTGGGTCTCCTTGGCACCCGTGAGCAGCACAAAGGAGCAGGGTGGCCCGAGGGCTCTGGCTGCCCTTCGCACCGACACCTTCACGGGCACAGACGTCCAGCCCGTGCTTACCTAGAGGCTTCTCTTCTTGCAGCTTTTTTGGAAACTGGGAGGAAGGAACTCACTGTCCTCGGGGCAGGAAAATGTGCAAATGCACGACTTACCTCCTTCCTTGCAACCGCTTGTTTCTTCTAAAAGTGAACAAAGAGGAGAAAGAGGAGAAGAGAAAATCATCAAGGAAGCATGAAAGGGAGAGAAGCAGTGCCTCTGGGTGCCTCAGATGGGGAGGGGAGGGGATGCTGTGGCCTCCTCAAGGCCGGTGGTCCCCAGGCACTCGCCTGCCTCTTGGCCTTGGCCCATTCTGTTCCCTGTGCCTGGAACACCCTTGGCATGGCCGGCAGCAAGGCAGTCGACCCGGCTCCCTGCTGAACTGTCACTTGCCCTCAGCTCCCGCTAGAAACCTGTCAACCTCTCCCACACTGTCTTTCCTTCTCCCTCTCTCCTCCGTGTCCACAGGACTCACCCACCTCCAGCAGACAGCTCACCTCCTTCCTTTACTCATAGTGTTCAAATGCAAGCTCACGCAGGCACCGATTTCTGCCCGTTTGGTTCCCTACTCTTTCCCGGCTCCTAGAGCCGGACTTGGCCCAGAGGAGCTAGTCTTCATCAGCATTTGCTAGAGGAACAACTAAAACGTTGAACCACTCATGATGGGAGCCACAAAGGTGAGAGGGGGAGTGCAAGGTTCGGTGATCTCTAAATTTCTCTTCCAACGCTGAGAAGAGGAGCTAAGAGCTCTGTGTTTCGGTGCACGGGGGTGAAGGCAAACAGAAGGGCCAAACGGCTCCGGCACTACTCACCGTTCAACACCTGGAGGCTGAGCAAACCTACGGAAGACAGCACCAACTGAGCACCGCGAGAAGCGGCATGAACAGTGCCCTCGGGTCCCCAGTCCAACAAGCTCAACACAAGCTCCCTCTCCTCCAGGAAGCCCTGCTGGATTCCAGGCACCTCCCTCGGGACATGGATCCCTACTGCCTTATAACCATCGTCTCCCCCAACAGACTACGAGTTCGCTCAGACGTGCGAGCGTGTGGGGTTCATCTTCGGGGTTCCCACCACCCTGTAGGGTCCTGGCACATATCCTGGCACATGCCAGACAAGCTTCCCATCGAAACCCCCCCCCCCCCCGCGTGCTCGGAGTGGGATTCTTACCTAGGATCTCTGGTGTCGCCCATGCAGGGTAAACGGTGTCCGGGAGGCAAGCCATGGGGGCGGACAAAGTCCAGAGTGTTGAGTCCGAGAGTCATGAGAGACGAGGCCGTAAGGAGGAAACATCACCATCACCAGATCAGAAGGTGGGGGCACTGGGAGCCCATGAGATCAGAGCCCAGGGTGGGGGGTGTGGTGATCAGTTAGGACTTGGCAGTGAACAGGGGAGACCATCCAAAGCCTTGTTGTCTGGGTCGGGGGGAAGCAAACGGCTAAAGACACCTGCACTGGATTGGGGTTAAGCTGAGAAGGCAGCCACCAGCCCTCCCCTTATAGTTAGTGTCCCTGTGTTGTAAGTCCCTCGCAGACTTTGGATGAAAAATGCTGACTTTGCGAAGACGTGGGGGAGGACAGAGCTTGATACCTGAAAGGTGCCACCTCCGGGGCCCTGCATTTGGGAAATTCTTACTGGATTTTCATTACTATCTTCACCATCCTCACCATATCATCGCCATATCCCCGAGGTGAGGAGGGAGGTTGGTTCCCATAGGACACCCCACCTTTTTGAAAGTCAAAGTAGGACAGCTATTTTTTTCAAGTCCCTGGATTTTAAATAAATTTCCCTAGAGATGATCCGTGGCTAGGAATGGACCCCTTAGCAGAGACAAGAAAGGGAACAAAGCTGGGGGAGGGGGACAACGTGGAATCAGAATCTTACTTTTCAGTACTGCTGAGATGCAGGCAGCAAGAAGGCGAACACCCAGTAGGGGTCGTTGGGCACCGACAGAAACAGAAAGGAGGGGACCGAGGTGTTAATGGCTCCTTCTTAGCTCACCCCACCCTGATGGTTCCCAAAGAGACCCTTCCCTAGGAGGGAAAGGAGGGGATCCCCCAGATTTCATGGGACGCTCTGGGGTTGCTTCTACTACACTTGTGGGTTGCTTCTACTACACAACTCTGCAGGTTGCTTCTACTACACTTGTCCCCTTTGGAGACACATCTGTCCAGGTGGCCAGAAGCTGCAGGTACCCGAGGAGATGGGGGGATTCACCCCCCAGAGATTAGAAAGATTATCAGCAAAGGATCCCCTTGATCCATTTTACCTCATTTCTCTGCTGAGGGTCAGGAAAGAGTGGCTGTACCTCTTACATGTAACTCAATATGTCCTTGAATTCTG